CTTCCCTTGAGCAATTTTTTCTGTGCTTTAGAATAAAGTTCTGACTCCCACTCACCTCTTCACTCCAGTTACTTTCCCCCTGCTGATCCCAACTGCTAATCGGACCATTTCTCCACACTAAATTACAGAATTATCCTGAGGCAAGAAAACTTCAACATGAATGTTTCTTTGCAGTTCAAAAGTATTTTTGTCACTAGGTGAATACCTAGTGAGAGTTCATCCCAAAATGTACACAGCAGTATTCTTTGGGGCTTAATTTAAGCTATGAAAGTGAAAGATGAAGCATTACTTCACCATCCTGTTTCCTCTTCCTTTACTTGGTGTTTATCAGCACTTCAAGGTCATCCTCTGATAATGACAACCTTAGACTCATTCTGCTGCTCCCTCTATTAGCAAATGGCTTTTATGATTCTCACTCCTTACCTTTGCAGGGTCCCTCTTTAACCTTCTGAAAATACAAAAAAACAACTAGGTAGCTCTACTTCTTTTTTCTCTCTATCTCTTACATTTGCTCTTGAACCTCTGCTGAATTATATTTGAATAATTCATCCAACTCAATTTTACTGAGTGACTAATGTGCTAATTAAAAGAGGAGTCATTTTAAGGTTGCATTTGGTGCTCATTACTGAATATCACCATAAAATATTCATATTGTATTTGGGAATTTGGGGGGGGAGTACAAAAAGGACAGGCATGTGTCAGCATGTTAATACCTTTTAAGAAACCATAATCAAAATTGACTTTTTTTTCTGATTCTGAGGATGTATGTTATAAATCCTGGTTTCTTACATTTCTTGTTGGGGAAAAATGCATTTAAGTGATGGATGAGACAACTGAAAACAAAAATATCCCCAAACTGCATCTCTGCCTAAATTTCTCAAGTATCTAAATCATAGTTGAATCCAGTAAGCATGACTATCTTGATTCCAGGATGTTTTTCTCCTTTCTCAAGCTGTGTTTTGTGTGTATCAACAGATTCTCCATTTTATTGTTCTTTTATTTGTATCTAGACCACACAATTGTAGAAATAATGGCATTATTGCCTGACAAAGAAATGAGATTTCAGTGACAATTGTTTAAAGATTCTATGACATTCTGCAGGGAAATGTTCTTTTGACCAGAGAACTCTCCTCTAAAGTCATGGTCTAAAAGTTTTGAAAAGCATATTTGAAATCCTTGATAAGTGACATACTTTTCAGATAGCCTTGATTAGGCTTCCTATCTAAAAGGACAGTAAAACCTTGATTAATGGAAATGCTTGAAGAATGAAATGTTCTGGTCAATTTAATTCTGTAATGAAAAAGATATCCCTTTCTGTTTCAATTTTTATTAAAATCTTCTTCAAATACATCCTTCTTCTTCAAATAGCACCACAAGAATCAGAAATTCATTTTTCTTTGATGACTTAAAATTATGGAATCATCATTGTGACACCTAGGATCATTATGAATTCCTGTAGACTCACAAAATTTAATATATATGTAATATATTTTATATATTCCTATGACATTATGGATTCCATATAGTGTTCCTTATCCCGGCATTTTCCCATTTTCCTCTCTACAATGAATCTTATGTGAATAGTTGAGTTGTGTTATCCACTTAATCAAGACTTACTATATACTCCTCTCAGAAATTCGTGATGGTCTCATTTTCCCCTGATAAGCCAGGCTTTGAAAGCAGTACAATACTTATGGAAGCACATAAAGACACATTGGCTATTGTAACCGTTTGGCATTAATTGGAGATCTACTTTAATGTTTAAAAATTCAGGGGCTAAAACTATTAATATGCATGCAGGTAGTTTGTTCACATAGTAGAGATATAACAGAGAATAGTCAAATTTCTTATGACTCAGCTTGGGGGTAGGAAGTAAAATGAGTGTTGTTTTACAATACCACAGTACCTCATGGGAAGTATTGTATCAGCCAGTACTTGTGTGCAGGAAGCTTTTTTTCAAGAAGCTATTACTCTGGAAGCTATTACTGTGGAAGCTGCTTTGTGTGTGAGCACAATATTCAGGACTCTGACTTTTCCGTTTCACAGTGAAGATTAGAGACACACAGTCTTGAGCTAACTTACACAGATAGCAGACATATCAAGATATACATATAAAAAAGAAAGGATTTTGTAGGAAAAGCAAATCTCCTAGGAAATAATAGGAAAAGAAATGAATTCTCAACATTGTATGTACTTTGAGGAATTCCAAACAGTGAGTCAAAGAGCTTTAATGTGAATATTATTAAAAAGCTCTAGCCAAAAAGCAAAAACTCTGAACAATGTAATAGCAAAAGAAAAAAAGGAATATCAAAAAATATTGGACAGAAAAACCCAGCACTGATAACCAGGGTACTGACGAAAAATAAAGCTCTGGGTAAAGGCAAACCATGCCCCTTTAATCCCAATAAGTAGGTGGATTCTACCTACTTGCAAAGATGCTTTGGAAGGTCTTAGGTTGGAGTAAGAGGAGCAGGCATAGGCCTTGAACAATTTTTAGCAAGTTCTTTGGCCTGAGTTTCCCACCAAAACAATGAACATAATAAAGCTACTTGTTTCTTTTTGCTTCGGGATGTACGGAGACATTCATATGCAGTGCAATCACAAAGGAAATCCTCAAAGCATGTTACCTATGGGACCACTGCTGTGCCTAACATAACTATAACTAGAAGTATGAACAAAGCACAAAAGAAGCTTGGAGAATACTGACTTCTCTGGCTAGAAGAAATAGGAAGGTTCTTCCTAGAGATAATCATTGAGTTGGATCTTATGATCTAAGTTAGGGTCTAACAGGTTGAAAAACATCAAATGATATCAAGGATCAGAGGGGATGTAGGTACATTTAAAAAATGCAAGGATGTATAGGAAGACCCAAACCCAGTGAAAGGAAAGCAGTTATTTCAAAGACTGGCATATAGAGGTGCATAAGATATTTTACAAAGGAATTTCACAGAATTACTTCATTTAATTTTCCTAACAGCTTCGATGTGGTAGGTTAGCAGTTTACACAAATGACAAAACTATGACTCAGAATGTCTTTTCCAAGGACAAAACATTTAATAAATGATTTTCTGACTCATATGCTAACCTTACATACATCAGTGGGGCAAAGGAACTAGTTGTTTGGGCCAACTGAGACTGAGTTGTTTAGATCCCCAGCTATGGCTAAGGTTTGCTCTCATGTAGCAGGTTGTGATTAGAGTCCAAGATGTGACCTCATTTATCAGAGGAAAATACTGAAGCTATAGATGTCCCTGATGTCTACCAACTCTAGATGGGTTAAAATTTGTGTCAAGGTTGGGACCTTGGCATCAAAAGTTCAAGGTCAGTGAAATTGGAATAAAAACAAAATCAGGGATTAGGCCAAAAGGAACTCTTCAAACACAGGCTGCAGCCCAAGTCTGGGGTTAGCACATGTGAGGTTTATGGAATGATAGGCACAATTAAGGTCCTAAGGAGTAGACTCAAGTAATTAACAAGAATTTACTAATTGGACTGCATCAAAAAACCTTCCAGTGGGTGACTTAATAGTTTTTCATTTTTAAGAATCATATAGAACACTTAAAATATATCAGGAATCTTAGCTATTATCCAATTCAACTCCCACATTTTACAAATGAGAGAGCTCAGCTGCCAAGAAGAAAATAATAGAAAACTTACAATAAAACCACAGGCCTCCTGTTTCCTAATCCAGTGCTCACTTGTATCACAGTAGGAATCATGGATCATGGTATTTTTTGCTGCCTATACCCTGCCAAAGTGTTTTTCTGTTCCCAACTCCTGCTTCTGTATTTTTAAGAAACGCAGAAAGGTAATAGTCAAAATGAAGACAAAGAGAGTATAGTAGAGGGAAAAGGCAAGAAATATGGTTAATATTATTTAGAAATGTTCATGGTCTTCATGGTTCAGAAATGTTTCCATGTCTTCCATTTATTGATTCATGCTATTTACTCCATACATTTTTTCCTCACCTGCCACTTGTTTAGAAAGTGCAGTTATACTCCTTGGATTTGCTGTGTGCCCTGGCCAAGGATATTATTTAATAATGCTCTGTTATCACCCTAACAGACAAAATTATTGTGACTCTCTTCACTAATTAAGGATTAAAAAGTTTATTGTATATAGTAATGCATTCATAGGATAAAAAATGGTCTCAATTCTTTCTGCCAGTGCTTTTCTATGGATATTTTAAGTAGGCTAGAGCAGATTTAAAATATGTTTGAAGAACGAGGTGTACAAATATGAAATGTAAACATAAATGTCTTTTAACATCTTATATTAAAATCAACATAGGAAAACTTGTTATTTAGAATAAAAAGAGACATACGTCAATTAAACAAGAAAAATACACATAGCATAGCAATAATGTAACAAAACTAGTAAAGGGGACTCAGAAAATAAAACAAATGCATTTAAAAAATACTGCAGTGAAAAAGTACCAGAGAGAAAGGAAAATAGGTCCACTAACAAATGAGGAGCATGAAATTAATGATGAGTCTAAAATGGTAGAGATAATGAACTCATTTGTAAAATTGGTCCTTAAGAAGAAAAATGAAGATAGGAAGTTTAAACAATTAAGGAGTAATGAAAATCTTGCAAAAATAGCTGTTGACAAAGAAATGGAAAAGAAAAGGCCAATTCTATTTTAGGGTGGATTAATAGAATTATCCCATGGAAATGAGCAAATTTATTAAATCAGTAATAATCTACCAAAAATCCTGGGCAGAATTTGTGACCATCCTGATCCTCTTTATTCTCATACCCAAGACAGAAGGGTGAAGAGACAAAGACTTAGGGAAGGTCCATGTGTCAAATTTATGCAAAAGAAGATAGACAAACCATGCCCAATAGGATTAGAAAAGGTTCTCATTTGGTGTTTGTTTGTTATTTTACACGAAGTATTGTTTCCAAGCTCCAAGTAGCATTAGTAGGCCTGTTACATTCTGAATAGCTGAAAATGTATTTTGCTCATACAAAATATCCAATTACTTTTCTTGAATTAGATATAAGTTGAAGAAACGTTCACTGACAACTTTAAACAAGGCAAGAGAAACCAACGTAGGATAATGCATGATAGACTGCCTCCCTTCCCCAAAGAATATCTGCCTCCATTTCAAGGTAGGAAGCATAAAAATTATATGATTGTGGAAAATACACAGAGAGAATGAAATATGTGGTATTTGTTCATTGTCAAAGCCCCATTGCCCCTACTTGATCTAGCCACATATGATAAGATGTGTTTTTATTCATATGCTAAGAATATGTTTTTAAAAAGATTCTTTCACCATACCATGAGTCTCTTTATCAGACTTTAGAAACATGGGGGTGGCTAGAGACAGCTAATAAAAGTGACAAGAGGAGTATAGGATCTGCTGGAGCCAGGAGGCAACACCTAGAGTGCTGCAGGTCATCTTAGTGGCCTTTCCTCTTTCTCCTACCAGAAACTTATGAACAGTTTTTTTCTCAAAAGAAACACCCATCACAAAAACACACAAACACACAACACACAACAATGTCAACAGGAATTGAAAATATGCTATATAGAAATCAAACATATTGTCAATTTTAAATTGATTAATTCAAGGAGAATTTATAGAGAGTGTCTCATTTAGCAAGGAAGATCAGAAAAAGGTGGCTGAGATTTGAGTTCAGATATACTGACAAGAAGAACTCAGCCTTTCTAGGATCTGGGGAGAGAGGCTTTCAACCAGAGAAAGCAGTAGAAAAAGCACAGGCCTTAAGGTAGGAGCGAAGTTGGTGAATCTGAGAAGTTTAAAGAATGATAAAGTAGTTGTATCGTGTTAAGTGAGACGGAATACAACAGGAGAGGGATAGGAAAAAGTGATATCAAGCAAAACTGTAAACTAAGGCTGAGAATTTAAATTGTATGCTGAATGCAGAAGTTGCCAAAATATTTTAAAGTAAATCATGATGACATTATTTACAACTTTGAAAATTAGCCTCACTCTTAGTAAATAAGAATGGCTGCTTCATAATTCAAGGATGAGAAATGAGTACGCTCTTTCAGATCGGAAGTGGGAAATATACAAAATGAACAACAACTTCAGGTGTGAAACTAGGAATAGCTGTGTGTTAAGGAAGCCCTGAATGGAACGTGAGTGACGGTGGGGAGTTTGAAAGGGCTCTTGAGATGAGGATTACAATTATGAGGCACCTCAGTTAAAAGTTTAAGCACTTCCCTGGGGAGTGAAAAAGTCATGACAAGTAAGTAGACCCGTCGGTGAGGCCCAGAGAAAAGGGCAGAAACATTCATCCTAAACACATCATTAAACCTTACTTCAAGAAAAAACGATTAAGATTCTTCTGTGTTTTTCACTTCCAATCCCCCAATTTTTGCCTATTTAAAAAAAAGTAACAAAACGGTAAATGCTTGACTATTCCAAGTAACTCACAGGCAGGGTAATGCTTAGGCATTACCTGAGAAGAACCAGTATTCTGAAAAAATACAAGGTGATCTGGAGAACCAAAGTGACAAAAGACTTGGGCCTTCTCTTCACAGCTTGAGGCCGGATTCACCATTTGGGAGCCCTGGGCCTCTTTAAAGGATCCCTCAGGAAGCCCTGTGCAGTCTCCTCAGACAGAGGAAATGTTAACCTGCTGAGACTCAAACTGGCTGGAATTCCAAAATGATGCATATGTAAAATACACTGATAAGGCAAAAATAGAACCAGAAACTGAGAGAGGGTAGGCTATTAAAAATGCGAGAAGTCACAGACCCTTAAATAAAGACACCAATGAGGAGGGAAGAGAGGAGGAAAGTGTAATGGTTTAGGTTAAAAACGCTCTCCCACATCCTCATGTATGTAGAAGATGATTGTGTCATGGGGGGTATCATCCACTGATATCCCAGTGGAATCATCTATTGATGAGTTCATAGATGAATAAACTGTTAGGAGGTGGGGCCTGATTAGTGGTGACCTAGAAGGGTGTATTTTTGTCCCCAGCTTCTTTCCTCTCTTCTGCTCCCTGGGTGCCACAGGTTGAGCATATTTTCCTCCTCCACTATGCATCTCTGGCATCGTGTTTCTGCCTTGTGGCCAGCTGATCATGGACTTAAATTATGACCCCAAATAAACCTCTCCTCCTGTAAGTTGTGAGTGTTGGGCATTTTGTCCCAGAAATAGGAAAGTCACTAAGACAGGAAGCAATAGAAAAAAGAAACTTATTGCATCTAGGCCCAGTGATTTAAGAGAATCACATTTCTTTAGGTTCTCCCTTTGCGGTAGAAGCTGTACACCCCAAGTAGAATGCATGCTTCTTCTGCAGTCTGAGTTAAAAGGCTGCTGCCGCACGTATCCAGAAAGGGCTGACTATGAAACCACAATACTGTGAAGGGAAAGGAGTATTTAGTGCTCACGTAGATTCTGCTCTTTTAAGAAACAGTAATCAGTCTGTGTATGTAATTTGGAGAGTAATGTAAATTTGGATAGGGCTTGTTTATAATTGGGTACTAATGTGGGAGTATTGTGCTAATGAAAGAGTCAAGAGGGAGGCAGAGGCTGCTCTTTAATGGATAGTTTGCAATAGTAGTAATTGTAAGATGCAGCAATTTTACTTAACAATTAGGCCATTGGTTGGTTTGTGAAGGCCTGTTATATTTTTCTACTGCATGTTTTCAATCATGAGGAAAGGTAGTGAATTGGCCTAGGTTTTAGCTAGAGAATGAATTCATGGAGAAGTTATTTCTTTCTATGGGGAGGATGTCTCTAAAACAGGTGCCCTAGGTGATGCCAAGTGTCACTACACAGTACAGCAACAGCAGAGGTAATTGCCTCTGTAAATGAGAGGCAGTAGGGAGATGGTAATCCTGGGGCTGCATTACTAAGGCAGCCCCTATATGCATGGGGTCACCGTTTCTTGCTCTACACCTTGCTCTTGGCCAGGAGTTTGGAGCCATAATTTTGAAAAAAAATGAATGAGATGAAAATTGGAATTCACTAAAGATAAGCACTACAGTGTAATAGAAAAGCACAAAATGGGAGTTATAAAATACTTATTCTGGAATTCTAGCTCTGCAGCTGACTACCTATTACCTTGTGTAAGTAATAAACTCATTGAGCTTCAACAGTAATATAAAAATTACAATGCATATCTCCCAGTATTATAAGGCTCACATAAATTAATATGTAAAATGCTCAATTCAACTTCTAGCTCATAGAATCAAGTTATTATTTTTATTATCAACATTTTGGATGAACATGATGTTTTCACTTAAAAATCTCAAGGTGTACTTAACAACATACATGAATTTCAAACAAAAATCATAAAGTTGAACAAAAAGAACAAGTTATAAATGATTGTATAAAGCATGATGGACTGAATATAGAGATTTTAAGGAACCAAAATATTACTGTGTATTATTTGTATACTAAAGAATAAAATGAGGATGATAAATCAGTAATTTAGGATAGTAATTGCCTCTACAAGAGGATGAAAAAAGCAGGGTGAGAGGTAACATTTAAGGACAGAGGAGAAATAATGCATGGGATACAGTAGGGCTTCAACTGTCATTGAAATGTTTCAACTGAGCTAAGTTATGGGCATATCGGTATATATAATTCATTATATTTTTAATAAATTTAACATTAATTTATTTAAATTTTTGCTTCCATTTCCCAAATGTTAAAGGAAAGATAAAATGAAGCATACAGGGAAATTATCACTGAATGTTAATATACAGTTAGCTAACATTTAATTTAAAGATACATTTGTTTGGATTATTTCAGAAAGCCTATAAACATCAACACATTTAGGCATGGTGGTGTGGTAGAAAAAAAAAATGCACCTTTAAGATTTTCTCAAAGCTTGGCTTTGGTGAGTCAAATCACGTGATCTTGGTCAATGTCTTTATTCTCAAGGATTTTATTTATTTTATTAAACTAGAATAATAATGCTTACTTCATAGGGAGATTGTAATGATACATAAAATAATATATGACCTAGCACATAGAAGGCTCTCAACTAATATAACATCACCTGATACCTAGTGTGGAGAAAACTCACAGGCAGGACATGTGATTCTGTAGTTGTCTCTGGGTAAATGTGAATTTCAGATTATTTTGATGATTAGTATGATGAGATGTTGCAAAGTAGTCTTTTGAAAATCATCAGAGGCACTCAAAAATCTGGAGAAGGAATAGGAAGTAGGGACTGGAGAATGGGTCAGAGGATCACTACTAAAAATACTTAGGAAGAATTCAATTGGCTATTAATGTGCTTATGTGACATTCATGTTCTATCACCAACAGAGTCAGGAATGTAGAAGTATTGGATGCAATGAAATTAACAGATAAAATCACATGAGAAAATATACCACAAACTATCTGACCCAGGATTCATTTTCTTTGCTCTGAGAACCCTTCCTAGTGCAACCAGATGCCAGCACCAGAGAACCTAACAAAATAGATCCAAACTACCCCCCCCCCCCATTTCTCCATCCCCAATTCATTCTGTTTTAATCTTAGATAAAGAAAAACAATGGGTAGGGAATCATTCGAACTTGAAATACTACAACAATTATTAGACAATCTCTATGCTAATCAAATGATGGCCTACAAAAAAGGCAAAAGAAAAATAAAGGTAAAACCATGAGTCAGAAACAGGTTCATTAAGACTAGTGACCTTTAACAATGTCTCATTGGCATTTTCTCCTCATAAAATATGACCACTTATATAAGACACTATGAAATTACATACCTGTTACAGTGAGTTTTGCTCTTTAGAAATGGGCCTGCTCAAACTAGAAATTAGAATAACGTGTTGTATCCAAGCTTGTGCTTTTTGAAGGTATGTTGAATTTTAGTACTAAGGTATAGCAATGAGAATAAAAAATTCACACACACACACACACAAATCTTTTTCTCTAAATTTCTTGCATGAAAAGTTAAAGGAAACTGATATGTGAACATGCCTCTTTGTTTTTTATGCCAAACAATAAAATAAATTTTTGTAGCATCAGATGAAATGTCTACTTAATGAATATACTTTTGAAAAGCAAAATTTTAAAGATCTGAATGCTTGGCATTAGTCAACATTGACAGAGACACAGAAGCAAGCATTTTTAAACTCTATTAGTGAGATCTTTTTAGAGAGCATTCTGACAATAATTATATGTATCAAATTTGATATTGGATGTTCACTTCTAAAATGTAGCTACAAATATGCTGAGATATATATGTATATTGATTAGAGTATTGGTTACAGAAGGCAGACTAGAATGGAGAAAAGATAGTATAACAACTTTTCATTGCATAACCTTGAAATTATCTCCCTTTTAATCATGTAATATATTACTTTTTATAATTAAAATGTTACTAACTCTCTTGAATAGGGCAATATATAATGTGGACAATAGAACAGAATAATGGGAAATACAACTTTAGGATTACAATTATTGAACTGATTTGCTGTCATTCTGCCCACAAAATAGGTGGACCATCTATTCAACCAAAGAAACATTGGACAGCCATAGGTGTCCCCTTAAGAGCCTGGGAACTAGAGAAAGTCTTTGTTCTGTGGACAAGATAAGTTTGAATTAAAAAAAAGACCCAAATGGAATCTGATCAAAAGTGTTCAGTTCTTTATCCTATATGCTTATTAGGAATGTCACTCTTCCTATCCCCATAATTTCCCTCAGGTAATGATAAAATTTCATTCTTTTGATGGAAAATTGAAATAAATTATCACTGCTAACAAGTAAAGAAAGCAATATTAAATGTCAACTAGATCGTGGCATCTGTCTCATCTCAACACTCAACTGCCCCAATACGATATTTTCCCATAAACAATAGCTATTATTAATAACAAGGTCCCCTAGAAATATGGCTGTTAAAACAGATAAGCTCTTGCTCTAGACAGCCATCTTGGAAACTCCAAAATATCTAGAAAGTAGACCAGTCTGAAAGTAGGGCCTTGAATACCACCAGAAACTGAGTCTCACTTGTCTGCTGTTGCTTTGTTTGTTTTCATGAAGATCAAGAAAAACAGTGATGCCTTACCCAGAATAGCATAACCAATTCTTGCTTGAAATACACCTTCTGTTCCATCCATTTGAATGCAACTGATCATCTTCAATCTTATCCTGTCCACAGAACATAGATCTTCTCCAGTGCTCATCTCCAATGTGCACAGATTGGAATATGCTATGCTTAGCAACAGACATGCCAGGTAAGTTTCATCATGCCAACCTTTTACTTGTGGTGTTTCAGCATTGAGGGGAAAATGTAGAAGAAAAGAAGATAATAATATGTTTTCTTTTTACCCATCCTCTAAACTAGATCTGTTTCTTTCAAAGTATGTTTTAGAGTTCTTTAATTCTGCATTAAAGTATCATTAGAATGACATCATAAATTTTTACAGAAGTCTAACAAGAAGTATTAAGTATTAGAAAACATGTCTTGACTTTCATTTCCCAGGATGGCATGTTAAGAGATTAGAAGTTGCCAGTTCATACTAACAAGAAGTAAAAATACAGACTGAAAAACATTCATTAGTCTTTCTATCAAAGAAAAGAAGTCATGGGCATACTACAACCAAAAAACTGGAAAGAAGATAACCAGATACAAAGAATCCACAACTTACCAGAACAGCAACCCACAAGCAGAAATCTCTTCATAAACCAGTGTTAGAGTAGGAAAAAGTGAATATTAATTGTTAAATTAGTGGACTCTCAGAGACTACATGTTCCAGGGGGAACAAGGGGTGGTGGCAAAAATCCCAGCACCTAAGAGGTAAGGCAGGAGGATCACAAATTCAAGGCCCATCTAATTAACATATTGAGGCCCTGTCTCAAAATTTAAAAGAAAAAATTAAAAGAGAGTTGAGGTTAGTGATGTAGCTCAGTAGTAAAGTGCCACAAAGTCAATCTCTAGTACCAGAAAAACAGAAATTATAGGAGACTCAGTCCCAGAAAGTATCCTATATTTTTATCTCTAAGAACTCTACCTGGTTCTCACAGTAAATATCAAAGTGAAATCCTCTTCTATTTTCAGGAGGAGGAGAGAGAAGAGGAATTGTTTTGAAACATGCCAGAGTTTTCTATTCTGATGTGAGGAGAAACTTTTTCCAGAATCTAACCTGCTGGACTTTATCAGAGCTAACACTAACTAGGGAAAGGGAAATATTCACCTCTACCTGTCTCTATCTTTTCTTGTCTGGAAAGCAAATACTCAACTCAAGCACCCTTTAGCCCTCCCTAATGTGGTGGATGGAACCAAGAAGCATTGGTGAAGTTCTCCAGCCAGAGGTACAGGTTCCCTAAAAGACTGAGACCTAACAAAAGGCCTATAGAAGACTTTTCAGCTTCTCACACCTTACTATTCCAACATTAGAGACCCATTTACTACAGTTGATTTATCCAGTGCACCATGTTGACATTCAACAAACAACTACAAGGCATAATACAAGGCAAAACGCAGTTTGAAAAATTAAACAAGCATCAGAAACAGAGTCAGATATGACAGGAGCCTTGCAATTATTTGTGTAGAAATTAAAGTGAAACCAAACCAGAACAAAAATTATGATTACTGTGTTAAGGGATTTACTGAAATATCTTTTAAACCTTTCACAATATAACTACAAAAAATATTAATATCTTATGTTTCATTTTGACTAAGGATCATCTGAAGGAATCATTATCATTTAAATCTTTGCATGAAATTAGCTCAACTTGACTAATATTAAAAAATAAGCATTTGCATTTTCCCTTTGACCTTGAAATAGGAGACAGTATTACTGACTTAGAAACATTGCTGTTTACAACTCATCACACTTGGACACTGATTTACAAGGTTAAAATGACAGGCATGTCATGTATTTGCATCATGTTTGAATTGTTAGTGGCATATCACCCTCCTGGCCAACATTTTCATTTTGCAATATTTGTCTCACTTCTTATAATAAAAGAGACTTCCTTTCCTAGCTTCTCTGCTCAGTGACCATGAACCCATAAATCTAGAATGTAGTAACTCTGCAAACATTAATGGTTCAGAGTTACAGCTCAATATACTTTTTGCTTATCTATGTATTAAACCAATGTTCATATTCTAGAATTAGCACAAATATATTCAATATTGAAATATCAATATGGCAGAATTTGAAAGGTTCCTGCCTTCAGCTTCTCTATTACCTCACAAATCTTTTTACCTTTACAACATATTACATTTGCAACCTACCTTCTAAATTCATTAGGTTTGCTAGTTTGGATAATATGATTTAAGAAGACCTAGATAAATAGTTTACAGATCAGATACATTTTTGATTGGGGGCAAAGTCATACTCTGGATATTAAAATGCAGTTCTGAAGGTCGGGTATAACAGACGAGTCTCCATGACAACAAGCCTGAGTGAACCAGAAAGCAGAACTAAAACATGAGTGGGACAATCATCAAAATGGATTTTGCTTCTTTGACAATATTGCTAATTTTTCCAATGGCCTCTTAGTACACTGCCATTTCAAGAATTCTTTATGTTACTGATTTTAAAAAGTATTAGTGAAGGCTATGTCTTGAGCTCTTGGAAGAAACTGAAACGAGTATTTTGTCCCTCCATGTCCTGGTACACTATAGGAGTTCTTAAAATAGAAGTTAAGGACAAATACTGAGCTCTTATTTTTTCTAGAGAAGAATCATTCAAGGGTGGCTGTTTTCCATTGATAAAAGTCTGAATCCCTCTCTTGGCTTTCAGGCTTTCCTTGTCTGACCCCATGGTCTTTTTCCACTGCCCCATTGTGATCCCACCAAGCTCAGTGTCCCCACTTTCAGAACATCTTCTTTTTCCCATTTATTTAGAATTTTGAGAACTACTTCAAAGCATACACCCAGAAAGCCTCTTTTATCTATTAACCTAATGTTTTATAAACTCTTCCACCATCTTATCTAACCAAATAATTCCTCCACATAATTACGACAGTTAACAGTGTAAGCTCCACAAATGTGGCAAATGCTAAATGTGATGAATCTAGAAGATGGCCATATGGGCATTTATTATATTATCCTTCATAATCTCCTATAGATATTAATTTTTTGAAAAGTTTGGGACAAATGTCTTAAGTAAGACAGTCTATTTTTATTATTATTATATTGGTACATTTTAGGTATACAATATAAGGACATTCATCATTGGAAATTTGCACCTTTACATAATACCTCTTGGTTTTTATTTTTTCCCCCTTCCCCTGCCCTCCCTTCAACCCTGCCACCCCTCCCTATTTACAGAGACTTTGTTTCCATTTTTTCATTTTCTCATATTGATTCCATTTCCTTCTTTCTTTCCCCCTACCCTCCCACTTCCTCTTCCCCTTCGCACCTTTTCTTCCTATTTCACATTATCTGTCATACCTTTTAGTCCTTATATACACTTTCAATTTCTCACACTAGATAAACTATTTGGTATTTATACATGTGTGTCTCCTATTTGTTTCACTTGAGTATCACCTCAATGTGCATTCATTTAGCTATAAATGACTCTAGTTTCTCAGTCTTTATGGCTGAGTAATAATCCATTTTATAAAAAGGCAAACATATTTTCTTTATCCACTTGATGGGCAATCAGGTTGTTTCCAAGTTTTAGCTTTCACAAATTGTGCGGCCACAAACGTAGGTGCACATGTATCACTGTGGTATGATTTTTTTAATTATTTGAGGAAGATACCCAGCAGGGAAATACCTGGGTCAAATGGGACTTCCAGTTGTTTGAGGTATCTCCACACTAATTTCCACAGTGGTTGCACCAGTATATACTCGCAACAGCAGTGGAGTAGGGTTTCTCTTTCCCCATAGCCCTGCCAGCATGTGCTATTGGTTGATTTCATGATGGCAGCCATTCTTTATAGGGTGAGGTGGAATCTCAGCATTGTTTTCATTTGCATCTCTTGAATGACAAGTGATGTTGAACATTTTTTATATGTTTATTTTCTATTGCTACTTCTTTGAGAAGTTTCTGTTCATTTCAGATGCCCATTTTTGGATTAGGTCTTTAAATTTGTGTGGTCTGATTTTTTTAAATTCTTTGTAGATACTAGATAGTAGACCTTTGTCTGAGGGACAGCTGGTGAAAATTTTTTCTCCCATTATGGGTTGCTTCTTCACACTGTTGGTGGTTTCTCTTGATGTGCAGAAGCATTTTAATAAGAAGAGATCCCACTTGTTGATTGTTTGTGCTAGTTCACATGCAACTGAGGTTTGGTTCATAAAAGCCTTTCCTACACCAATGTCTTCAAGAGTTCTTCCTAACCTCTCTTACAGCTGATTTAGTTTTTCTGTTTTAATATTTAGATCTTTAATCCACTTCAATTTTACTTTAGTGCATGGTGAGAGATATAGGTCCAGTTTTAATCTTTGGCAAGTTGAAACCCAATTTTTCCAGCACCGTTTATTAAAGAGGCTATCTTTCCTCCAGTGAGGGTGTTTGGTTTTTTGTCAAAGATGAGGTGGCTGAGTGTATCTCGAGTCGTTTCTGCATGTTCTAATCTGTTCCACTGGTCCTCAGGTCTATTTCTTTGCCAGTACCATGCTGTTTTATCACAGTAGCTTTGTAGTATAGTTTCAAGTTGGGAATTGTGATACCCCTTACCATGTCTTTATTGCCTAGTATTGCTTTCGCTATTCTACTTCTCTTATTGTTCCAAATGAATTTTTGGATTATTTTCTACAGGTCTGTTAAGTGTGCTACTGGGATTTCAATTGAGATTGCATTGAATCTATATAGCAGTTTTGGAAGTATGGCCATTTTCACTATATTGTGTCTTCCGACCGAGTAGCAAGGGATGTCTTTCCATTTTTTGATATCCTCTTCAATCTCTTTTTTTCACAGTGCTATAGTTTTCAGAGTAGATTTTGATTTAGGTCTTTGATTTATTCTATTAGGTTGATTCCTAGGTATTTTAATATTTTAGATGCTATTGTGAAAGGAATTGATTGCCACATATCTCTCTCAGTGAGTCTGTTTTTCGTGTACAGAAAAGCTATTGATTTTTGTGTATTGCCTTTGTATTCAGCTACTTTACTGAATTTGATTATTAAATCTAGAAGACATTTGGTGGAGTTCTTAGGGTCTTCTATATAGAGTATCATGTCATCTGCAAATAATGACAATTTGACTTTGTTTCCTATCTTTATTACTTTTATTTCTTTCTCTTGACTAATTGCTGTGGCTAATGTTTCCAAAACTGTATTGAACAGGAGTGGTGATAGTGGACATCCTTGTCTTGTTCTTAATTTTAGTGTGAAGGATTTCAATTTTTGAGCATTTAGTATGAAATTGGCTGTTGGTTTTTCATAGATGGTTTTTATCAGATTGAGGTAGAGTTCATCTATTGCAATTTTTTAGGGTTTTTATCATAAATGCATGTTGGATTTTGTCAAATGCTTTTTCTGCATCTATTGAAATGATCATATGGTTTTTGTCCTTGGCTCTATTGATATAGTGTATTGCATTGATTGATTTGCATAGGTTGAAACATCCATGAATCCCTGAGATGAATCCCACTTGGTCAGGGTGTATGATCATCTTGATGATCTTCTGCATTCTATTTGCCAGGACCTTGTTAAGAATTTTTGCATCTATGTTCATTAGTGAGATTGGCCTATAGTTCTCTTTTCAGGTTGTGCCTTTCTCTGCTGTGGGGATCAAGGTGATGCTTGGTTCCAGGAATAAATTCGGGAGTACTGCTTCCCTTTTCAATTTCATTGAAGAGTTTAAACAGTAATGGCACTAGTTCCTTTCTAAATGTCTTGTAGAATTCAGCAGTGAAACCATCAGCACCTGGGCTTTTCTTAGTTCAGAAGTTTTTAATCATGTTTTCAATTTCATTGGTTGATATTGGGTTGTTTAGAATTTTTAGGTCTTCTTCGTTCAACTTTACCCATTCATACGTATCTAGGAATCTGTCCATTTCTTCTGTGTTTTCCATCTTACTGGCGTATAGGTTCTCAAAGTAGGTATTGATAATCCTGTGGATTTTTGCTGGGTCTATTGTAATTTTGCCCTTTCCATTCCTAATTGCATGGATTTGGGCCTTTTCTTTCCTGTTTCTGATAAGGTTGGCTAAGGGTTTGTCTGCACACACTCACCAATGGAACTGGCAGGCCTTCGAGTGGGAGCCCAGATGCCTGTGAAGCCAGACAGTCTATTTTCAAATGCTAATGCCAAAATCCACCCAGTATGTTCTTGCACAAGATCACTCAGACTCTGTTTTCTTCATAAAATGGTAATAAATAATGGTGCTTGACTCACAGGATTGTTGTGATGATGAAAAGAAATAAAGCTGTTAGGAACTTAGCTCGATACTTGGAAAATAAGTTTATTATGTAAATTAATAGCTGCAATCATCACTGTATGTAATGCAGTATAGTACATTGATTAGATTTTGTTCTCTGGAGTCAGATTACTGAACTCACATCTTAATGCCACCACTCACTAGAAATGTATCTATGAACAAAGGTTGCACTTCTATGAGTCTTATTTCCTCTTTTTCTAACATATTTACATTTTACTTTTATGGA